AGAGAAGGGGCCCTCGCAAGTAGTTCTCCCTGAGCTCCGGCACCGGCGCCTCCTCCCTCTGATCTGCCTTGACGGCCACCATCTTCCCGTAGTGGCCCACGGCCACCACGCAGTCACAGCCAGTGTCTCCAAAGAGCTGCTCGTCCTCAGCATCCTCCACCGCCCTCCGCTCCGTTCTCAAGGCCCCGATGAAGACGATGGGCTCTTCCAAATGATGGAGGATCTTCACTGGTGGGTCTTGGTTCGAAACGTCGTGGCAGCCATCAACAGCTGGTAAAGAGCTGAGGGCCTTCAGTGGCACGGAGCAGAGCTGTCCATCCGGGAAGCCGCAGAGGATCATAGGAGACTCCAGCATGGCCGCGTCAATCCCAAAGAGCAGGCTGAAGAGGGGCTCTTCCAGCACGAAGCCCCCTGAGCACCACAGCCCCTCCCCGGACCCCACAGTGCCTGGGGAGGACGCACAGCACAGGACGGGCAGAAAATGGGAGGGCTGGCCGTCCCCCTCGTCCACGGGCTGGGGGCCGGGGCAGAAGCCCACTTCGCTGACCTGCCGGTACGGGGGACTCTCCTGCTCGGGGCGTGGAAGCTCATGCAGTTTCATCCACCATTTGCCATGAGCCTGGGACAAAGTGATGACGAAGTTGTTGAGCAGAGTGAACATGCACAGGCTGGAGTCTGGGAAGATGCAGGCGTCCGAGTCCACAGGGAAGACGCCGGAAGGGCAATTGCTTTCTTGGCCATCGCCATCAGTCTGCTCCATTAACCTTCAAGCAAACAGGGAAGAGCTCTCAGCCAAGCCATGGGGTGAAGCCAGCGCTTCCCTTGGCCGCCTCTTACCCTGGCCCTCGGAAACAAGCTCCCCGCAGCACAGCTTTTAGCATCTGCTGCAAGAGCGGCGATCTGGAGAGAGCCAGAGCTTCAAACCGTGCAACGCTTCCCGTGCCAGCGGGAGGACGGGCAGGGAGAGGGCAGCGGCGGAAGCCCAACACGTCACCCCAGCCATGAGAAGCGGCCCCGGGACTCCAGGGCTAACGGCACAGGGCTGGCTCACATCCCCGGTGGTGACAGTCAGCTCACCTGCTCTGCTGGTCCAGGGAGACGCAGTAAATGCCGCTGTGGGCACAGAGCATGTAGAGCTGCCGGGGCTGCGGCAGCAGCTCCACGTGCCACACCTGCTCGGGGCACCGGTACACAGCCTGGGTGGAAAAGCAAAAAGAAATGTCACCTTCCTACGGCACCCAGAGGGGCGGTGGGGACGGGGCCGCTCCCCACAGGTGTGAGGGTCAAGGGAGCCGTGGTGCCCACGCGGCCAGAGCCCTGCTCACCCCCACCGCGTAAAGAAAGAAACCACTTGCTGGACAACGCTCCCTCCCACACAACCCCAACGCCACTGCAAATTAAAGCGCTTATTTCCTGTAAACGCAGATTACAAACAATTTCCAGGAATAAATCTATCCCTGGGCAGCATCGCAGCCTGCGGACCCAGCTGGGCTTTCCTGGGCGAGGGGCAGCTGCCCTCAGTGAAGGGTGGCATGGGGCTGGGAGAAGGGCCGCAGGTAATGGGGCAGCCCATCACTCACACTCCCCGAGGGGAAGGAAAATAGCGATCAGAAAGCCAGTACATGCTCTACTTTCCTGAGAGGGAGCGCAGTGTAGGAGGCAAATCCTGATATTACAGCAATGGCTTTCTCAGAAATGATAATAAGAACAAATTAAAAAAAGAAGCCGCGTATAACTCAACACGACTGCTGTTAGTCACAGCAAAGACAATAGCGAAATCCTTTGTAGGTGAGAAATGAAAGAGATGTCACTTTGCTCGGGGAGGAAGAAAAACCTTTCTAGTTTAATTAAACGCTTGTCTTGCAAGTTTAGGAGAGGGGCCAGACGGCAGTACCCCCCACCCCGAGAAGGGGCCTTGGAGCTGGGAAAGGGGGTCTGGGGCTGCTTGCAAAGTTCATCTGTGGATGGGGGACCCCAACGGAAGGGCTCCAGGAAGGGCTCTGGCCCCAGACTGGGTGACCAGGGACCTGACTGGTGTCCCCATCACCTTCACCCCGTCCCAGCTCACGGACCCCACAGGACACCGGCCCCAGAGCACTCTCCCGGCACGGGGGACGCACGGCAAAGCCCCCCACCCTGCC